TATTTGGGAGAGTATTTCCTAGAGGGTTATTTTTAGATATCCTTAGACATTTAAAAGCTGATTGTGCATTTCTTTCTCTGCATCTTTCCGGTCCTTTATCCAAAATATGTCCCTTGCCTGCTCCTTCTCCTTATCCAATGTATACAGAACAGAATGGGTTCAGTTGCAGATCGGTTTCCTTTGGAGCATGGAGGTGATTAAAGGAGGACAAAGGGGTTTTTAAAATTTTCATTTTAAAGGGCTTGCCAAAAGCCAGGAGGTGAGAGGCCCATTTTTGGATTGAAGGGAGTTTTCCAACTAAAATGTGGGAGCCAAATCAAAAATGCAATTTTATTGTAGACCTCCCCTTGGTGATTTTTCAGAAGGAGCTTAATTTCACTGTTTGGGTGGTTTTACTCCTTCTAGACAAAACAATAGTATCAGTCCACACAAAAGAGATGAATCACTGACAAACTAATTGAAGGTCCAAAAGCTCTTGGCTTTAAATTGCTCTCAGTTCTGTTGAAACCTGGAACTTTGTATCCTGATCCAAAAACATTTACCTGGAAGCAAATCCTCATTATAAATCATAATTCTAACCTAAATAGATTTAGAATCGATTTGCTGTGCCTCTCTCTGCACTCTGGGAAGTGGCATTTCTCTGAAACATGCTGTTGGTGGTAACATACATCTGGGGCAACCCCCCACTCCCAAAACTGGTTTGACTCTGTCTTTTCATCTCATAAACTGGTCTGAAAATAGGTTTTGTTTCATTATTTGAAATCTACCCAACCCCCTTCAGTGACGTTTTGAAAATAATGTACATCCCATTGAATTTAATAGCAAATATTCCTGTGACAATCATGGAGGACTGAACTAGCACAACTCAGTTTCTAGTATGGCTACAATTCTCAAGGTGTGATCCAAGTGGTCCTATGTTTGCATACTCACAAGTAAATCCTAAGTGGGTATACCATAGCACTTTATGTGTATAGGTCTGCAACTTACTGATACTATTCTATTCATGTTTATGCAGAAGCCCCATTAAACTTAAACCTAATGGGACTTCTTCTGTGTAAGGGCATTGCACCCTAAATCACTTTAGATTGCAGCAGGAAGCAGCTGAGCCTTCATGCTGAACTGCCAATGAGCATAACTTGGCTGGATCATTTCCCTAGGCTTTAGCAGTCTGGATCATAAACATGAAGTATTTCCAATGGGCTATAGTGGTATTTATTTCCAAATAAATCTACTTAGGACTGGGTTGCTAATCCAACATGAACTCATTCAAACCTAAACAAATATTCTTGGAAGTAAAGTCCACTGATCCACAGGAATTTATATTTAGAATTGCTATTTCATTTTAACGGGATTTTGGATACGGTTGATTTGTCTGACATCTATTCTCTAATAATTTGTATTTCGGGGCTTTATAAGTTTTCCTACATACATCTTGATGAATAATATGTTTTTAATGAAGAGAACAAATATGCTTTTCTCTCACCCATGAACGGAATAGCCTTGGATAAATTAGTCCGGGCCACAATCCTAAATACACTTTCATGGAAACGGAGGTGGTCCTTCGAAGTTGAGATGTGTTTAGGATTGAGGCACCAAATGGGGCTGGAGGCCAAGTCACTCCACAATAAAGTGGTCTTCAAGACTGACTAGATGTTTGTTCCCTTCCCCCCCTCTCTCCCCCTCATAAATTATACCCTCCAAGTGCCCATGCACTGTGAATTTCAGATTGACAGTGTCTATAATCAATTAACAGGTAACTGCAATTACATTTGATCAGAAGTAAGACACAGCAGCAGCAGCTTCAGGCAGTGATTAATAGCTTTTGAAAAACTACAAGCAAACTTTCTCTTCTGGTTGGTGTGATGCAAAATACGTATCTTGGAAAAAATGAAAAGTATTCATTATTGTGCACAACATATTGTGTCCTCTGCATTAAATTTTGTGTCATCCTGATTCTTGCTAATAAGAAGGAAAACACACACATAAACACACATGCAGGCCAATCCAATGCAGCTTTACTTTGAAGTAACTCTTAGAGAAGCATAGATGTATGTATGGATCCGTTTTATGTACTAGAAAAATCCAGTTGCACAGACAAATGGCACATGAGAGTTCGAGTCGGCTAAGTTCCATCACATTCAAAATAATATTTGTTTTCATAAGTATTTTATTGTTGATCTATTTATAGTTTGTATATTTTTGTATTCATTTTTAAATGCTGTAGCTACCTTGAGAGGGGCTTTTTTTACCCTTGAAGTGGGCCTAAAAGTAATTTTAAATAAGTCAAAAGGCTGTATTTAATGTTAGTTCTACTTAGAGTAGACCCATTAAAATTAATGGGACGTAAGTTCGTTATGACAAAATGCATGACTAATGTAATTCCCACTAATTTCAACTGGTCTTAAAATAGAACTAACCTTGGATATTACCTGATCGTATGCCAGCGACAAGGAGGAAATCCAGGAACACAAATTATGCCTTTTTGCCGGATGGATATCTAAAGTACAGTAGTGACTGCCCTGAGATACTGGAATGCTGCAAAATCAAGGTTACTGGTGCTTTGGAGCCAGTCAGCCTGTCATCCTGACAGAGCAACAGTGTTTTTTTTAAAGTGTCAGCACATGGATAGCTAAGGCCATTTAAATTCCACTAGTGTCAGTGAGAGAATAAAGCAGGAGCCTAAACTGACCTGCTGAATCAATGGCCCTCTGCAAACAACTTGGCCAAGGAATGCAATTTCTGGCTGCATTTTGCCTCGTGTGTGCTTTCCTGTAAGCTCTTCAAAACTCTCATAGTTTTTCTTCAATATTCAGCCATTTAAAAATGTAGAAATGCTAAGTCTGTTCCATGAACTTATTTCCACCTTATTTAAAAGAACCTGCTCGATTCTATTGAAATTCATAGCACTGTTTCCACAAAGCCTCTTTAGATGTTCATCTATAGAAAAGATCAATGATCAAGTGGTCCAGCGACTTGCAATCCCCCGGCTCTGTCTAATGCATATTCTGCGATTAATGCTGAATATCTTTATCCGTTTGCCTACATTTGGGGTGGCAGACCTAAAGTTGATTTTTAGAAATGTAATATAAATCTTTTTTAAAAATTAATTATCCTCAAACTGGGGTATTTTCTATATTAGTGGAAAAACCCTGATTCAGAATTTCTGACCACTCTAGTCATTTCTTGATGCCTGACAATTTGCTAATTTTATGGGCTAGATTTACAGTAACTATACTGTAGTATTCCACAAGCTATGGATGGTATTACTAAAACAAAGGCACAGACCACCTAAAGCTCAGCACTTTCAAAGTTCTTCTTATTTGAATGGGAGGACCCAGCACTGATTAAGTCCCACTGAACTGCCTGGCACACAACTTCATATGGATGGTAACCTAAATAAATTGCATAATTTATTAAGGTTTCTGAAGGGACTGGTTGCAGCAAAAATAATAAAGATTCATAAATGTATTCTTGCATGAGCTTTTCAGGACAATGCCCATGACAGCTTAAGTCTTAAATGTGTCACAAGACTTTTTTTTTTTTAAAAGAATTGGGTCCTAAACAGATGTACATGGGAGCAAGCCCAGCTAAATGCAATGGGATTGTTGAATAAACATGTTTCATGTGTATATTTTTGATCACACACTTATCTGGATCATCAATATATACACCTCTTGTGTAAGAAACTTATGCAAATAAGGGTACCATTCGGTGCATGTTTAGACAGAAAAAAAATCCCTACAACTCTTGTGTTAGCAGAGTTCCCTGAGGAGCCCTTGGAGTTGTTGAATGTCTATTTTGTCTAAACATGTCTAGGATCGTATAGTTCATTTGTGCTAAATGTCCCTTTTTAATTTTTATTTTTCAAGATGAAGACATTGCCATATATTTGAGCCCTTCTTTTAAAAAGTCACCATGCGTTCTTCTTACCATAACCTCACATACAACCTCGCTTTACACAGAGTTAGTCTAGTCAGTCTGCCCAACTCGACCTGTCTCCGCTCACCACCCAGCAAGGGCTCGGTACATTTTAGACAGAACTCTCTCCTAGCCCTATCCAAAGATGCCAGGCTTGAATCCGGGACCTTCTGCGTGCCAAGCATGTGTTCGAGCCCCACCGCCGTTTCCAGTCCGGTCCCAAAAACCCCAAGCCGCCTTCCATTTTCGGAGAGACAGACAAAACGCCACAACGGACCTTTAACGTGCCGCACAACACATACACTAACAACGCAACCCTACACGTGTCTGTGAGTTCAATGGGGCTTATTTCAACGTAAGTGTATTTAAGAACGCAGCCGAAAGCTTTGGGAAGTGACTTTTGCAAGGAGAGGCCCGTTCCCTTAAATACCCAAAGAGGCGTCTCCTCCCTCTCACTTCCTCCTTGGAGGGACGGTGGGAGAACGTGAACAGAATCCGGATTCCTCAATACTGTTCGGAAGCGGTAGTAAAAGGAGAGCTCGGGAACGGGACGCTGGCGCCACAGTCCTCCTGTGGCATGTCTGCTTCGTCGTCCTTCGACAGAGCGGAGCAGTGACACGGGGTCAGGGCCGCGACCCGCAGTCCGCCTTCCCCAGGACCTCTCCTTGGAGCGCGGCGCGAGCGGGGACCCGGAATCGCATCCCGCGCGCTCGGCCGGCGACTGCAGCAACCTTTCTGGCAGGGCGGAGGCGCGGCTCGTGGCTCGATCCTCCTCCCTTTCTTGGCCGCACCCCCGCTGCTCCGATTGGTCACGTCCCACCCAATCAAGGGCCAGGAAAGGCGTTTGCTCTGTACGCCGTATTAAAAAAAAGTTTTGGGAAGTTGCTCGGACCGAGCGGTGTGGGCGGGTGGATACTTTTCATTTTCTCCCCCTCTTCCTCCTCCTTCCAGAAAGGGGTGTTTCTGGTGTGGCTGTGTGTGTGTGTTTGGTTGTTGTTATTTTGTTTGACGCGCCTGTCTTTCCCAGCGGCTGGCCCGAGCGCTGCGTGGCCTCGTTTCGCCTCCGGTGATGCGCCCGAGAGGCCAAGAGGCATTTCTGCACTGAGATCTCCGCGGGCTTGGCTAGCGGGGCAGAGGAGCCAGATTCGCGGCCGGCCGGCTGGCTGGCTAGCTGCGGGCGGGCTGGTTGGCGGGGACGGGCGATCGCCGCTTTGGGCGTAGGAGCCACATCTGCGGGTTCAGCGGAGAGCGGAGCGGAGCGGAGCGGGCGGCCGTCGGACCAGTAAGGATGTATACGGCCGGGTTGGCCCCCTTTTACGCGTCCAACTTCAGCCTGTGGTCAGCGGCGTATTGTACCCCGGCGGGCCCGGGCGCTGGCGGCTGCTTCTCCTTGGATCCCTCGGGGCTCAAGAAGCCTTCTTTCTGCATCGCGGACATTTTACACGCCGCCGCAGGAGAGGCATCGGTGGTGGACGGCCTGCCCGGGGGCCCATCGTCCAACCTGGCCGCCCACTTAGGCGCCGTCCATGCCCACGCGCAATTCCACCCGGCGGCATCCCCGCTCAGACCTAACCCCATGGTGGTCCCGGACACTTCAGTCGCCTTCCCCGCCAGGCTCTCGCCTCTCTCGGCTACTTACCACCACCCGCATCCTCAGCGTCAGCGCTCTCCCAGCGGAGGCCCGAGCGGGGGCGCATCAACCCCTGGCAGGGGGCAGAACCACCAGACCCATCCTCCTGGCTCGGCTCCCGCCCCCTGCAGCAAAGACTTGAAATTTGGGATTGATCGAATTTTATCCGCCGAATTTGACCCGAAACTCAAGGAAAGCAGCACGCTGAGAGGTAGAGAAAGCCGCGGAGGCCTTTGGAACCCCCTCCCCCTTCCGCCTTCCGAATTTGAGTTCCCTTGCTTAATGTTTGGCTTTGCGGTCGTGTGGATGGGCAGGGAAGCCTCGTTCACCCCAGCGCAGCAGAATCGGTCAGTTGCGCTGACCCCGCTTCCCCGATCTGGTGCCAGATGCTGTGGAGGATAAACTCCACCGCCCCCGCCGTGGAGTCGTAGTTCAGCACCACCGGGCAGCACCAGGTCGAGGAAGGCCAGGCTCACCTAGCGTGTTTCTGGTCAGAGTGGCAAAGGCGCCCTGCGTCAGTGGCGCGGACGCGCGAAGCTCCGGCCGGACGGCTCGGGCTCGTGTCGGCTCTTGTACGCACGGTCGAGACAGAAAAACGTCTGCAAGTCCCTGTTCCCGGTAACGACCCTGCTGGCGGGAGAGCGCCGGGGGCTGAGAGGCTTCTTTCTGTCTGGACATGCGCAGGCTTGTGCCTCAGAGTGTGGTCAGATCTAAGCAAGTCAGCACGGCGGAAAAGCCGTACGCTGTAGCTCACCTACGGGAGGGGAAATCTGCCCCACGCCACCCCACAACCAGGACGCGAGAGTGGCGGGCGGGAGCGGGAGATGGCAGGCCGAGGGCTCCCGTCTCGCCGCCCTCCCTCCCTCGTCACCTTGATCGAACCGTAGATTCCCCCGTAGTCTTAAAAGGCAGCCCTTCTGGGGCGGAGGAAGGAGGCCAGCGCCGAGCTGCTTCGGTAGTTGCTCAACGCGCCAGCGAGGAGTTGAGCAACCGGATTGCCTAAAAGCGCGGAGGAAGAGAAATCGGCTTCGCGCTCCCCGCATCATTTTTACTTGGAAGTAAGTCCCGTTGATTTCGACACACTCATTCAGGCGTAGCTGAGCCCCGCGCCCGCTGAAAACCCGAACTTCTCGGGCTCACGGAGAAATAAAAGTCCTTCTCCAAGCAGTGCCCAGCCAGGGGTTGGCAGGACTGTATTCTGTCTAAACACGGATAGGATTGTGCCCCAAATCGTCTTCACATCCCAGGCCTCTTATTCGAACCCGAATCCTGGGACCAAGTCCCATTGGGCCCGACAGTGGGGTTTACTGCTGAGTAAGCGTGCATGGGGCGGCTCCACACGCCCTTGGGCTTATCTCCCAGGTCAGGCCTCGAGGGAAAGGAAAGGGCGCTAATTCGCTCCGTGCCGCCTTACAAGCGAGCAGGCCTGTGGCTCCGGGTGGAGGCAACATCAGCCCTAGATATCCGCGCGGAACCAGGCACGATCAATTGCTAGCCATAGCCGAGGGAGCTTCCTTCCCCTCTTGGCCAGCACGTCAACGAGTTACTTCCTAGGGAGGCTCCCGCTCGCCCTTGGCCAGACCGTCGCTGCGGGCGTCGGGGCTGATCTGTGTGATCCAGCCTTCGTGATCGGCGACCAGAGCCTGATCGGCCGCATCGCTTAGCCCGGTTGCTTGGATCGATCCTCACTAGGCCCTAAACCCTGAACGCGCTCGGGGAAATCCTTGGCTCCCAGGGAGACTCGGAGCTCGCCTGTTCCGTAAGTTCCTTGGCGAGCCCCTGCGGAGCGCGACCCGAGCACGTCGGGTTGAGAGATGCTGGGTGCAGCCATCAAAGACACGTTAATGAAATAGAACCGCTCGGCCTTCTTCTGGTAGCGACACGACTCGCGAAGCCTAAATATAACTTTCGGATGGGGTGAGGAGAGGCGTGTGCTTACTGCACCGACAGCAGCAGGTCCCTTGGAGGAAAATGCTCGTTTGCAGCGTTCCCTCTGCCTCCCCGATGCTCCTTCGCGGCTTTCCTTTTGCCATCCCGCTGCCTCTCGCCCCGGGCGGGCGAGGGCAAGGAAGGATCGCCAAGGGCCGAGCGGCTCCGCTTGGGAAGCCAAGAGCCGCTTCTTTCCGTCGCTCGGGTTGTTTCCGAGGCTGCAAGGCGAAGCGTGACTACGCTATGGCAGACCTCTGGATTTCAGGGGGGACGTTCCTAGAGAAGGGTTGGGGATTGCAAACCGCAGCGCCGCACCCCACAGCCGGGCCAGACCAGGCTTGCCTGGAGGACCAGCCCATAGATTTCAGCCGGAGGGTGACTCCCGAGTAAGTCTTGCCTGCTTGGAAGCCGCCTCCCCATTGCAACGAATGGGAACGCTCTGCTATGTAGTCTGTGCAACAGCCTGCTGCGGGAATGAGCGGAAGGTTGCGATCCCAGGCGTGCATCCTCGGGAGGAGAGGCCACTGGGCGAAGCTGGGCTCCTGGAGAGCGTCCGCATCGCAGCGGCCCCTTGAATCCCACCGGGTCCTGGTGCCCGCAGGCGTGCTTCCACTGTGGCCGCCTGGGCAGGAACCGGCGGGCAGTCGCCTTCTGTCGTGCCAGGAGCAGCCCGCGCCTTCCTTCTCGCCGTGTAACAGCGCTCTCCTTGTTCCTGTGCCCGCAGATCTGACCTCCTTATTAAGCACCAGCCGCCAAGGTGGGGTTCATGTCCCCGCCTTGCAGCCGCCGGCCGGCCAGTTCTTCGCGTCTCTAGAACCCATTAACGAGAGCTCCGGGGTCCTGGGACCCTTAAACACAGCCCCAAGGAATTCAGTTCAGCACCAGTTTCAAGACACTTTTCCAGGTACTGCAAACCAATCCCTCTTTTAAACCCAGCCCTGGCACGGGTCAAGCCAGTGTCGCTGCTGTTACAGTGCCCTCCAGATAGGTCGGGCTACTGCTCCAGGGATGATGGGAGCTGTAGTCGAACACAACCGGAGGCCACTAGCTAGGGGCAGGCCGGAATTTTAATTCCAGGAGTGTGTTCCTACGCACCCTTAGTTGGAGTAAGGAGCATGGAATTCGGTGGGCTTACTTCCGAGTAAACCTGCCTAGGCGGGGGAGGGGGCTCGTCAGGCTCCCCACCGCCCGACGCTAACCACGCCTTTGGCTTCAACAGAGCTTACTTCCAAGCAAAGGTTTTTAGGATTGCAGTATGGATCGGGCGCCACTACCACTTCCCTGAGGTGCTGATTTTTCACCCCCTTTGGTGTACGTGGGGTTAGTGTATCAGCGAGAAGAAACGGCATACAGGCAGCCCTGACACTTGCCAAGGACGGGCTTGTAAGAAAGAACGCGGGAGGTTGCCCATCTCTGCCTTACCTAGCGGGCCTCTCTCCCTGGGATACCTGCAATTGGACGCAAGCGCCCGTGGCCCGCACTGCACAGGCATAGCGGAGCTCTGGGGAGGCGAGGGTTAACAGGTGACTCACCTTTCAGGGAGAATCGGTGAGTGGGAACTTTTGGGGAGGTGGACAGGGGGCATGCGAAATACGCCTGATCTCCAAAAAGCAACCCCGATCAAAGAAAGAAGAGAGACCTTAATGCTGCAAGGAATGGCATGGGGCAGTGGGCGGTGGGGCGGCCCCGCTGGAAGCAAGCGGCAGCGCAAGGGCACGTGGGCCGCGCTGCTAGGCCCGTCCCCGGGATATCGGTGGGTCTGGGCTGAGCCAGCTGCGGGCCTGGCCACGTTGCAGGCAGCCCCGCCGAGCCGCTGCCCGACCTGACGGCCGCCGGGCGCCTGTTCTGTTGTTCTGTTGCCCCTCCAGGTCCGTACGCGGTGCTCACGAAGGACACGCTGCCTCAGACCTACAAACGGAAGCGCTCGTGGTCCCGAGCGGTCTTCTCCAATCTGCAAAGGAAAGGGCTGGAGAAGCGCTTTGAAATCCAGAAATACGTCACCAAGCCGGACCGAAAGCAGCTGGCAGCCATGTTAGGACTCACAGACGCTCAAGTAAGCGCTCCTTGGCCGGTTCCCTCCGTAGCCCGCGCCAGCTAAGCTTTCCGGGGGCAGGCGGGACTGTGGGCATGCCTGTTGGCCCCACTGGTCAGCGTGATTTTCTTACTCCTACCTCCACTACATGGAATTGGACTTGAAGCAGTTTCCAGAACGGGAGTGGCCTTAATCGGGTCCAGCGAACAGAGGACGCGCCGGGCGCGCACCTGTGCCTTGTGGCTTCTGTTTTGCTGGACGCCAGCCTGCCTGGGCTAGGCCCGCCTGATCAGTGGTCTCCAGTCCAGAATAAGGGCCCCATTCCCGAGCATCCCAACCCCTCCCAAAATGCAGCCGGTCTTACTTTAAGGGCAACGCGTATAGGCCTGCAGGCTTGCACTACTTCGTCTTTCCCGAGAAACTGTCGTCCCTGCCTCTTTGTTCTGCAAGGAAAAGCACAGGCCCCTGCCCCGAGGCGCTTCCAGTTCAGGCCGCGCGCTCGTGCCCGCGTTCCTTCCGGGCCAAGGGCCGTGCCGGGGCCTCTTAGGGCGGCGGGCTTGCGCGAGGGCTGGGGCGACGGGCAGGGCAGGGCAGGGCGAGTGGGGGGTCAGGGCGAGCCCGGGGTGCCTCCTCGCCCTCCTCCGCGTCCGGCCTTGGGAAGGATGGCAGCGGCGCTAGGAGAGCGCTGCACAGCGCTTCGTGCCTAGCAGTGCAGTGAATAGCGCGGGAATTTGCTGAACCGCGCGGGGAGGGGAAAGGGCCCATAAATTACTCCCGAGATTCGTGTCAGTTACACCCGGAGGGTGTTTGTTTTGGCTGCGAGGGGAAATGCCAGCGAGAAAGAACGGCCTGGCTGCGAGGGGAAGCGAAGATCAGGGCCGCTGGCCCCGATAGGGAAGGCAGCTCGGGAGGCGAGGAAGCGGCGGGAGCTCTGGGGCTGCGACATGGGCCGGGCAGGCCTCGCTCTCCGCCGCCCCGTCCGTCCGTCCCTCCCTCCCTCCCTCAGGCGAGCCCAGCGAGGCGAAAGCATCCGGGCCGGCTCCGGAGAATCGCGGGCTGATTTTACCTCTGGAACTAGAGCGGGTAAAGGAGGGCGGGCGAGGAAGGAGGAAGGAAGAAGGGGAGAAAGGAGGAAAATAACAACACGCACATTCTTTTCTTCATAAATGCTCCTCCTGTACCTCAAACATCTTATGGGAAAGGGAGTCCTGCTTTTAAGTCGGAAGAGACGCCTTGTTTCTTTCATTTTACTGGAGTAAACTTGACACTTGGAGATGTGGTAGCTAATTCCCTGCAGTTGGACCAAAGGATGCTTTTCTCTTACCTGCAACATCTCAAAAGGCTCAAAATACCTTCTTATTGCTGAGTGTAAGGAAAGAAACAGATGAGCGGCATAATTCAGTTAGGAATTATATCCCAGAGAGAGAGGGAGAATTTCTTCTGACAGGAGAATCTATTTTACAGAATGACAGCACTGGATGTAACACTGCATCATAAGAAAAAGTATTCTATATATTTGTGTCATCTGCTTAGCCTTGAGGAATCATATTTTAATGTCTCCCCTCTAAATGCACACCCATAGATACACTTGTAATAAACTCGCACCAACGCTTTAACTTCTTTTCTGTCCCCCACTCCCACCCCAGGATTGGGTTGCCCCAATAATTTGCCCCCAAGCCCACCAACATTAATGTTCAGAAGTCAAATGAGAGCTAGTTCTGAGTAAATGTGTATAGGAAAGTATTGCATGAAATATTAGAAGTCATGGGACTCTACTGAGCAGGATTGGGGTATGTGGCTTGGACTCAAAGCATGGCCTGCTGAACATGCTGGAACTTACTTCCAAGTAAACATACAGACATATATGACATGTATGACATGTATACGATTGCTGCATTATTCATGTGTTTAACGGTGCTATCTTCCTCTATGTGCCAACTCAAAAAAAAAAAAAAAAAAAACCAGCAGGTTTACTACTACCTAAAAGGGTATAGAATTGCCACCTGGATTTTTCCTATTGAAATAAGTGAGGTTGCACTGAAAATGCCTAACTTTGGTATCCGTGTTGACAGTGTTGCTGGCAGTTACAGGTATGCATGAAGTTCAGCCCTAGACTACCGCCCTCTGTCATCAGGAAATCACATTCCTTTTCAACTTACATTTTGCTCTCCCTCCCCCTCTCCCCCTCCCTCCCCCTCGAAAAAATTGCAGTGAGGGAAACGGCAGAATAGCTATAAAATCAGAAAAGATATATCAAAGGGCCATCTTGTTAAAAAATAAGCAAACCTCTCCCCAACTTGCTCAGTCTTTCTTTTTCTGAGCCTTGCAATTTTCTACTCACGCACACATGGAAAATGCAGCTCTCTGCTGTGTTCTGGCAGTTATATTTTTTTCAATGGAGCTCCCTCCAGTCTAGATACCCAACGATGCTAGAATTACAAAGCGCCATGGCTCCCATGCCCCTGCAGAACATTCCCCATTCATTGCTAGAACAACTCTACACTATTAATTCTCTGATCCTGGCAGTATTTACCTTTGAGTGTAGGTCCCACTGACCTCAGTGAGGTACATGCATGGGCTAATGGGATCACCAGGAAAAACAAAATCACCCTCCTTGCACACTCTCTGGTTTCAGAGGAGCTGCTCTGCTTTGTGATAGCCTATTCAGTATATTAAAGAACGCTTTCATTTGGTTTTGCTGGAAGCCTCTGGTTAAAAATCTAGGAGGCAACTGCCTGTATGTGATCTGCTATTTATAGATTGTATAGAGAATAATAGTGAAGTGGTTATTGTGAAATACTGAAATAAGGGTGGGCAAAATAATGATTTTTTTCCTCCTCTGAAAGCACTTCCTGTTGCTATTCATTTTTGTTTGGAAACCAGATATGTGTTGGACTCTCCAAGGTGTGCATCTTTTCTGGATGTTCCCTGTTTCTATTCAACCCGCTTTCATTCAAATATTTCTGCTGAAGGAGTTTGTGGGTCATTCCTCACCAGATCTGAGCAACAGCGGGATTATATTCTTAAACTGTGATAGCAAGAAAGATATAAAGGCTGGGCAGGACGAGGAATGGAAATGGGGCAGATAGAGGGAGGCTGTTCCTTGCAGCAAGGAAATCGGCCAGCTACAGAAGACGGGCACTAACTGCAACTGGCTTTGTACTGTAGACAAGAGGTGAGGGAGCGGCTGCAGTCCTTCAGATTATATGCATCAGGTAGATCTGACGTAACATGCAGTGGAATCCTACGCATACTTACTGAGAAGTATGATCTGTTGAATGCAATGAGCTACTCCTGGCTAAGTGTACACAGCCAGAGAGAGTTCACTGAGTAGCAAGAGATGACAACATGTAAAGCATACTTATTTTGCATGCTATGCAGTATAATTCCAGAATTTGCACCTGAAATATTAAAGTAGATTCTTCCTCCCTCTTTCTGCTCTGTTGTGCCTATGAGGACGACCATGTTTTTCTCTTTAAAAATGTGAATGTTTATATTCCTCATTTTATATTGCGGGGGTAGGATGCAGATTGTAGAGGCTACCTCTGATCCTGTACAGGGTGGAAAAACCCAATCCCATCAGAGCTTGGGTTGAGCTTCACCTGATGCCCTGCATGGCTTTGCTCTGTATTGCTTGCAGGTGAAAGTCTGGTTCCAGAACCGGCGCATGAAGTGGAGGCACTCCAAGGAGGCGCAAGCACAGAAGGACAAGGAGAAGGAGCCCTCGGAGAAGGCGGCAGGGGGTGCTGTGCCGACGGGCGAGGGCGAGGCCGAGCGCAGCCCCAGCCGCTCGGAAGGCGAGAGCGAGAGCAGCGAGGCTGAATCCTTGGACCTGGAGCCCAGCAGCGATGCCGAACGGACAGAGGCAGGGGCCGCTGCTGATCAGCCCCTGCCACGGCACAGCCCCGGGATGCACCACCTGGCCTCTTCGGAAACTGCGGTTCACTCGGAGCCCCCGTCAGTGGTGCCCACGGGCCTGGACCCAGGCAGAGAGTCTCTGCGGTCCGCCGAGCCCTCTTTTTGCCTGCAGGACTCTCCGTGACTGCCTGTCCTCTGGGAACCAGCCAGGCTGAAAAGCTCCCAGTAGCCCCGGCTCCAGATGCTCGCTCCCCATTTGGGAACTGGGAAAGTATTAACCCCCTAACTGCCAGGTGTCGACCTGTACTGTCGGTGGAGAGAGGTGGGTTCGGAGGTAACTACACCCTGGCAGCAGGCGGTGGATGTGGGGTGTCAACCACTGTTACAGGTGGGGGCAGAAGTAGGCACCCCAACCGTGGAGAGAGCGGCTTTATGAACCGCCCCAGGGTGAGTGGGTGGCATTCATGGTGCTGTGAGAGGAGGACAGACTTGTGGGCCCAAAGAGAGGCTCTGTACATATTGTAGTGCTTACGCAGGCAGTCTGTGCACCTAGCGCTGGGAAGCCTCTCTGCAGGGTCCTTCTGGTGAAGGAGATCCCTCAGGTTAGAGAAACAACCAAACCTTGTCCTCATCCTTTTGCTAACCCCTCCAGCTCCAGATGTGTCCTCTCCTCCTCCTCCTCTGCGTGTTCACAATGTGAAGTGTTGTATCACCCCGGCTCCCTACCCTTCTGACCCCTTGTCGAATGTGTTGCTTTATATAATCTGGCCAAGAAATACTGCACTGGAGAGGAGAAGAAGATTAGATTGTAAATAAATGGTTTGTTAAATTTGTTATGTCTATTTCTGTTGTTAGAGTGTGAAGTCAAAATGGTGTGATCCTGCTTGGGATGGACTGTCAGGATAACTACGATGCATTCATGTCCTTAACCGCTCCCCCCAGTGCAGTGGTCACTGTATTATTAGGGGAGGAGGCACTTCCATTTCCAGAAAAGGTGGCTGATTCTGAAATTGACCAGTTTGAGAGAAACTATTGGACCAACTTTCAGTATCTGAGCTTAGAAAGTCAGGATTGATGATTGATAGGGCAGGCTTTGGCTTAAAACTTCAGAAATTTTAGGAGTTTTACTGTAGTCAGTTTTAACTGATCTTACATTGTAGAGAATTTGCCCTCTTCCTTTAATATCCTCGTGAAAACTTTTGTAAACTGCCCAGAGAACTTCAGCTACTGGGTAGTATAGAAATGGAATAAAGAAATAATGATTTGGTAATATAGAACCACATGTAAATAAAATTAAAATCAATGAAAAGCCTCAGGAAAAATCACTCAGAAATGAAATCCACTGATGGCCCTATTACCTGCACTGAGCAGGGGGCTGCACCCAGTGCCCTCCCCACTCTGTTATTCTCTGATTCTATTCTCAGCTGGTTTTGTGATTTGATGTGGTCATTGTAAGCTAAAGAAAGGCAGGTCCCAAATAGTAAAAACAAATATGTGTAGTGCAGCCTTATAGATGTCTACAGAGATGGAAAACCAGTTGAGTTCAATGGTCTTACTTCCAGGCAGGTTGGAATGGGACCGTAGTAACCTAAGTATAATTTCTAAGCAAACTCAGAGGGAGAACCCATGCATACTTATATGGAAGTCTTGCTTTCAGTGGGATTATCAAGCAGGTGTGGATAGGATCGCACCTTTAGCTTGCAAATCTTCTGGCAGTAAATCCATTCACACATCATGGGATTTACTTCTGGGTGTATAGGAATGGACTTCATGTGCCTTCATGTGAACTTGGAAGAAATATTTGAATAAAATGCTTATATTTGGTCAGAATTGTAAGGCTTCAGAGTCTGAATAAAATTTCCAGATGTGGCTATGCTGGCTGGGAAATGCTGGGACCAGCAGGACTCTTTTCTTTCTAAACATGCATAGGATTGTGGTGTCCCCCTGAAAAGGACATAATTACATCTGAGTTATGAGCTAGAAATTTAACATAGGATGGCAACCCTTAGCATGAGTATTAATATCAGACTTAACACCATCAAAAAGCAGATAGCATTTTATTTCAGAGAAAAATATGTTTAGGAAAGGGAGAATGAATTTGAATGTTCTCTTTCAGAAATCTAACACAATGGAAAAAGTTCATAGTTCTATTTCCAGCAATACACTTTGTTCCTTCTGGGCCCTTCTTATGTATATGCAGAGAATTGTATAAATCAGATTTAAAAGCAAACAAGTAGGTACTGGATCTTAGAAAGTTACTGTCAGATGCTAAGTAATTATATATGAAAAATAAATGAACAGTGCAACAACTATTTAAAACTCTTAAATGTTTCAGTATCCCCTAATTTAGTGACACAGGATTTTGAATAAATGCTGTGAATTAAGCTGAAGGTTTTAAGAATATTTAGGGTAGAATAGTAGCAATGGGGTTGTGTGTGTTTGTTCTGCGGAATTAAAATCAGCAGCTCAATAGAAGCAGAAGCTGCAGTCTTGCCCATCATATGAACAGAGACTTGTGTATTGCTTCAGAAAGAGAACCAGGCAGAACGCTCCATTGACTCCAGTGGAGCATTTTTCGGAAGGAAGACGTTGTCCTCAAGGTTCAGTCCCTGAAGCAGCAGTAGTAGGAATGCTTGGCCCTCCAGAGTCTGTTGGATCTCATCTCCCATCCATCCTAGCCAGGATTGTCCAGGGTGAGAGGTACTTCAGGTTCCCTGTCTCTATTATGGGCTGCTAAAGGAGTCTTGAATCTGTGAAGCCACATTTTTGGTTTCCTTTTCCAGCCCTCCCAAGCTCTATAGGAAATATTTGCAAGTCAGAAAAAGTTGTGGCCATTAACAAGACAATGTGTTGAAATCAGTTGCTCAGCTTCTTTTAGTTCAGACTACTGATTTGTGGTTTCTTAATTGTGATGCAATATTTGCTGTTGTATTCGAATCTGCTGGATGTGAGGAATCCATGAGATTTGCATTCAGTGAGCTTAGCTTATTTGAGTTGCAACACAAGATGTTCTGCTTAATGCAGTTGCTCTTCCTCTCCACATCACAAAAAAGGCATCTTTTCCAACCATAACTGAAGAAAAAATCCAATATCCATATAATGCACAACTTTATCGAGGCTCCTCAAAAATCACTAAAAATATACAAGCACTAAAGAAAAGTCTTTCTGTAATATCCTGCCTTGTGAAGAGATCTGGAGCTCCTGAATGCTTGCAGTTTTGGCTGTTTCTGAGTTGGCCTAAGATAGGCATTGAAATGTATGGATTTTGGAACAGGTCTCACCAATTGCCCTGCTTTTAAGGATAACCTGTCCCCACTAAAGCAGGAGCTGGAGAGGCAAAACAATGAGGGGATGCAGGATGATTGGGTGATGAGCTTATTGAATCTCTCACCAGTACCTCTGTAGATTTGGAGATTGGGAGAAAACAATGAAATAGCTTGTTCTTGCTGATGGTTTTTACAAGGCGTTGCCAATTCTCTAGCAATGTGTAGTTCTAGTCTCCTTAATGATCAAATGAAAGCTGGAAGATGCTAGGTGAAAGTCACCCACAAAAGAACAGATAGGTGTCCTTTGTTGGTTATACATCTTCTGGTCTGGAAGCATTTCCTATAGAGCAACCACCAAAATCCAGACATATTGAAGGAAGAAGAGAGAACCTGTGGATCCATAAAGTCAGGACTCTTCAAACTTCCACAGAGCTATCTAGAATGTCCATAAACAAAGCTAAAGTGAAACACCTCTCTTGCATATTTAGCATTCCTCTTTAAATTATTCAGCTCTAAGAGTACAGTCCCATAAAAAGATTAAGACCTACAACACCCAGCATGCCCCAACCAGGACTGGACTCAGTGTTTTTCAAATTGCCAGCTTTGCTCACTTTGAAATCCCAACTATGTTACAGAGCAAGATAGAAGCCCAAACATTTAATTAACTCTCTCCCTCTCTCTCTCTCTCTCTCTCTCTCTCTCTCTCTCTCTCTCTGTCTGTCTGTGTGTGAGAGTGTGTGTGAGAGAGAGAGAGAGAGAGAGAGAGAGAGAGAGAATGGGGGGGGAGGGAGGGAGGGAAGAAAAGCTCAAACTAAAGGTCCAGAAATACACCTGTTGACGACACACTTTTGAAAGATCTTGGTTCTTTTTTCTTTCTTGGTTGGAATGGTGATACTAGGATAGAAATTCTACATTTAGTTACTTGAAGTAGTTCCAAGCAGATGAGTGTAGGATTGCACCATAAGAGAATTTAAGCAAGCCATTTCGATCAAAGTTAAGGAATCCCTCTCAAAACCATTCAAACAATCGAGAAACCTAGAACTGTAAAATTAGCCCCTATCAGTCTGTTAAGGAGTTGCCTTTTTTTCTTTGACAGTTCAATCCTGTACATGCCTACTCAGAAGTAAATCCCCGTGAGTGGTATGGGGCTTATGCCCAGTTAAGTACATTTACTGAGGCTTTGTTTTGTACAAAATTTGTAAAGAAACTCAGGTGAGATCCTTAGCACTCTTCTTTTCAAAGCACAAATGGCTACAGTAAGCTAAGGGGTTTAATTGCGGGTGACTGAATTTAGTCTCTGGGGTAACTGTGCCCATCAGGAGCAAGCTGCATTTTGTTTTTATAGTCATGTGGCTATGATTTAAGCGAGTCTGAAAGTGCCCAGGCTCAGAGCATTGTCCGTCTTTTTATCAGGGCTGGAAAACAGTTACCTTGCTTTGGTCCCTGTGCTAACATAGCAGGAGTATAGAAATGCAAAGCATAGAATCGTGGTGTGGGCAGAGGAGAGAGAAATGATCTGTGTTTCTCAGCTGACCTGATACAGGTAGCTGTCCATAGCATCCCCCTGCCCTCTATTGAGTCAAGGGTCCAAAATTACCCAGTTGCACCTCTCAAATGTCTGTCTGTTCTACAGAGACTTTCTCAGCAAAAAGAATGAACACCCTAAGCCCAGCCTAAAGTACTAAGACATATGTTTCAATCCCTCAGTCACCTAGTATGTGGAGCAGGGAAGTCCCACTGAATTCAGTGGGGCTTACAACCGGGAAAGTGCCCAACTGTAGGCTCTTAACTTATTTGGAAAGGAGTTCAACATACATCCAGCAGGGTGACTTCCCATTCCATATGTTTAACTGTCCCATAGTCAAGTCAGAAATGCTAGGAATCCTATTGAAATCAACAGCATGACTTTGATTTCAATTACAATTTGAATGTATTCTTATCTAGTAGCACAGCCCTGTAATGTCTGTTCAGATGTAAGTCCCCTTACATCCCATGAGGTTTATTCCCAGGATAATAGCCTTCCTCAACCTAGTGCCCCCATAGGAGTACAATCCCATACATCTGGCTCAGGATAATGAGAGCTGTAGTACAGCACTTCTTGGGAGTGTAAGATTGGGGAAAGACAGGAGTATAGGATTGCAGCTTAAATCTTTCTGGATTTAGATTGTTTTTAGATTGAAGGTGCTGAAAATATTGGCAGCTGTCCAGTCTAAACCTATTCTCAAGAACTTGGATCTGTCAGAAATCAGTGCATGTATTTCTCAAAATGTTTAGCTTAAGCGATCTCTGATTTGGACTTGCTTCATGTAACCTATCTAGAGTGGGGTAGAAATCTCTTTCTGTGTGTGTTTAGGTGGCTGGGTATTTCTTTGTACATCTCCAGTTTAAACTTTGAGAATAAGTCAATTCAATGGCAGGTTATTCCTTCTAAGTGTGATCAACTTTTATGCAGCCTGCTGTGAGACTTACTTACACCTTTGTGTATGACACTGGTGTAAAAAGTTCTTGTTTTAAATTTTACCCCCATTTGTTAGTATTCTTGAAGACAAAAAAACAAGATAAAATATTTTGATCCAATGAAATCAATTTTGAATTAGGAAGTAATTAAGGTTAGATTGCCTAGGCTTTTGAGAATTTCTGACTAACTGGTTTTTTGACCCAGATGTTGAGGCCAAACAAGCTGAACATCTCAGATCATAATGCCATATCCATTTGAGCAGCATCCTCTAGGAAAACACAGTCAATACAATCTTGCTAATGTTAAGCTGGTTAAACAGCCCAAATGATTTCAAGGGTGGAGTGGACCAGCTGCTTAAGAGATGTGTTGAAAATTAGTGTCACTTTTAATGGGCCACTTTTGCTCAGAAATAAACCAAATTAAGCAGAAAAGGTTTACTCCCAGTTGTGTATGGTTTTGACCTGAAGTGTTTCTATTTGGACTCACTGGGTTTGCTGCAATGGCTTGCCAAAATTATGCCTGGGCTGCTGTGTTTTGTAGATGGGGAACTGCATAGGTATTTCCTACTGGTGGAGCAAGTGCAGGGCATTGCTTTCTGGAGAACCTGTGCCTTTGTCAGTCCAGATAAGGTGGCACAGGGATATGGATTCAATCCATGGCTTTGGACTGGTCTCTTCCCCCTATCCCTTAAATCACTGCATGAAATCATGTTCAGGAATTAGAATGGTACGCTTAATTTTAAAAGTAAAACCCTTGGGTATTTATAAGAGGAACTCACCCAGCCACCCACATAATTCTGTGCAGCCGGCAGGAAAAAAGTTTCAAGTGGAAGTACCCACAGCTCTTGGAAATACATTGAAAGGATATGTGGGGTATGGTTTGGAAGAAAGTGCCTAGCAAGAACCCTTTGAGATATAAATGATGTTGAACAGATATGCTGTACAACACTGAGCAAGTTTACTCTGGGATAAGTTGTATTCAATGGGACTTACTCCCTTGTAAGGCTTAAGGCCTAGTATGTTTGTTTAGGAGTGAGGCTACAATTCTAGGCACACTTACAAGTAGAATTCTAGGCATACCAAGTCTGATTAAATTCAGTGAGAGTTTCTGCCAAGTAATCTTGCATAGGCAGAATGGAAGCGAGCTCTTGG